TAAGTTAACATCAGTTTGAGTTTGAATTTAACTAATTAAATAACTTCGAACTAAGTTTTATGATCCTAAGTTAGCATGTAAGCCACTCATTTATTAAGAAAAAAAAAGATTTTAATTCAAGGAGTTGTGCTGAAGTAATAAAAATAAGAAAATAAAGAAAAAAATAATAATTAATCATCCGAGATAAAGAAGAATGAGATAAATTTTAAATATTTTTAATAAAATATTTACAAAATATATACCTCTATTTCTCATCTTATAACACAACATTTGCATTTTGTCTATTAAAAAATTAGAGGATAACATACGTCACATCATAAAATTTTTATGTATTTATATATCTAACATCTAAATTTTTGTTTTCATTTATGCCAATTTAGTGTCTAAACAAACATCAAAATATATACATAAAAATATATTTTTTACTTCAAATAAATTAATATTAGTATTATTCCTCATGAAAATTAGATATTTAAATGTCATATAAATAAATATAAAAATTAGATATATATTTACAAAAATCCCCTATTTTTTTTATTAGACAAAAGACAATAACATATTGTGCAAAACTATATGGGATACTTCATAAATATGTTTTTTTTAATAGAATTTAAGAAATTAATGTGATGTATCTTTTCATGTTTAATTGTTAGGATATTTGATCTCCAATTATAAGGACATTATTTGTAACTAAAGATACACTACTAAATAATTTCAACAGAGTCATATCTCATAATTTTTCTTTCTTTGAATTTTTTACATAAAAATGCTGATATTTCTTATAACTTCTCTTATATCTATATGTATCAAATCTTCATACAAAATAAAAATATTACATAGTCGCTCTTTCATCATGAATATTTCAGACATGAAACAACTTTTTTTTTCTAAGGCTAGAAGTATATAAATTCCTCTTTGATTTTTTATTTTACATGTAAGATATGAAAAATATATAATTTTGTTTTTATTATATATTATTGATATATCATCAAAAAATTATCTTGATCGGGCACGAATCTTGAGGCAAAGTTGAATCAGAAACTTCCAAAATTAATTTCGGGACCATCCAAACTCCAATTTCAGCAAACTTATAAGCGAACTAAACATCTTGAAAAGACAAACTTAACGACACCAAATTTGATCCAATATGAGCCCAAATGGGTCCAAATCAAGGGTCTGAAGCAAGTTTGGGAGCTTCAAAGCATAAGTGATTTCCAAATGTGACAAGCTTATAGTCGAATCGAGGAACTAGATGAAACAAATCCAACGAGCCCAAGATCGCTAAATTATGACATCATTAAGACACCCAAATGCGTGATAAACAGTCCATGATCAAGGGAATCGATATCAGTCGTCCATCTGAAACACTCTCAATCTACCATTGATCTTCTTAATATTTACTAATCATGTCACTCTAAAAAAACTATAAATAAACCCTCACCCCGCATTCTTCACAAACAGAAAAGGAAAGGAGAAAGAAGAGGAAGAAGAAAAAGAAATCTAGATCTCTCTTGTCACCAACCTCTTTCTCGACCACCGTCAGACCACAGTCAAACCACCAACCGTCGCCAGACTTCTACCCAACCATCAACCTTCGACGGACTTCTATTTAGATATCAATTGTCGTCGGACTTCGGCCTGACCTCTAACAAGTGTCGGGCTTTTGCCCGGCCACTAGCCATCGCCAAACCAACGGCCACCTGGCTACGAGTCATTGTCGGACCTCCACCCGGCCACCAGTCGTCACCAAACCTCCGCCCGGCCTCCGACTAACTCTAGACTTTCACCCGGCCACCAACTGACATCAAACTTTCACCTAGCCACCCATCAACATCGGACTTTCTCTTGGTCGTCAACTGACGCTGGATTTTCACGTGGTTACCAACTGAAACTGGACTTTCTCTCGATCATCGACTATAGCAGGGCGTTGACATGGTTGTTGATTTGACATCAAATTTCTGCCCAACTCTCCAAACTTTTGTAATTTCATCTTCCTCAAGTTTTTAGAGGGGACAATCTTTGTAACTCATTAAAATACTAGTGAAATCATTTCAATTTGGCGTGATTCCATAATTTTACATTTTTTCTACGGTTTTCCACGTAAAAACTCTCATGTTTTTGAGTTTTTTTTTTTTTTGTGCTTTAGATATCCATACAACGCTAAGATGAAAAATATTCTCACTCTACTTCCACATATATTTTAGCCCGCAATAATTATATAGGACAAACATAGCGAGCAACAATGCAAGCGATCAATAATAGCGATCGCCAACTATTAGCACTTCATAATGTCTAAGCTTGTTTTGATTTTAAAAGAAATGACAAATTTTTATTTACTATTTTTTAAGAATAACTTGGTTTATTTTCATGAATAAAAATATCTAAAATACAAACAAAAAATAATTGCATGATGATCAACTAAAGCAATTTTTTTAAGAAAGTTGTTTCAAATATATTGAAGGTTTGCTTTATTTTTGAAACCACAATCACAATTATATTTATTACTTTCAAAAAAATTCTATCCTATGAATTTATTTTTTACAGCAACTTTAAAAAATTTATTTTTTCCCCCAAAAATTTTACAATCGCTTAAAAAAAATTGTAGGATTGCCAAAGCAAACCTTCAATATAGTTGAGATCAATTAACTACTATTTTAAGCGCAACAAGCAATGCAAAAACCCTAATAAAAAAAGTTTAATATGCAAGAATCCGGGGTCCAATGTGTAATGTGAACATGCCTTATTTTCTTACTTTGCTAATGATATTTTATTGTTGCTAATCTAAAAGAAGCCATCTGCCAAATAATGCGACGGCCAATGTCAATCATCATGCAAATACAAATAATCATAAACTGGAAACCGATAAAAATAGAGTTTATTATTATTATTATTATTATTAGAGGGGTTTATATGCATTTCATATTTTTATACATAATATCTAAATTTATATATTAAATAATAATGTTAGTAGACTATATTTTAAAAAATTAATCTCTCTCTCTCTCTCTTATTATAATTGATATATCATATAAAAATTATATTGATCCTGCACAAATCTGGATGCAAAAATCAAACCGAAAACTTCAAAAATTAAACTTGGGATCACCTGAACTCCAATTTCAGCAAACTTATAGTCAAACTGAGCGTCTCGGAAATACGAACCCAACAACACCAAATTCGACTCAATCCGAGCCCAAATAGGTCTAAATCAAGGATCTGAAGCACTGTTGGAAAGTTCGTATCACAATTTGTGTTACCAAACGATCTTTAAACTTGATTAGTTTATAGTCGAATCGAGCCGCTTGACGAGACGAATCCAACGAGCCCAAGATCGCCGAATTCAGAAATCATTAAGACCTTCAAATATTTGATAAACGATCCACGATAGAAGGATTCAATATCGGCCGGTCATCTGAACCACTCCGTATTTGCCTCTGATCTCTCATCTATTTATGGGTCATGCCACTCCAAAAAATCTATAAATAGACCCCTCATTTCACTTGAAAGGGGACCGAAGCAAGAAGAGAAGAAGTTAGAAGAGAAGGAAGAGAATGAAGAAGCTCCTCATCGATCACCACCGGACCACCTCCTAACGTTGTTGCTCCGCCAGACCACCACTTGAGGCACTTACCTCCGCTGAACCACCACTTGAGGCCCTCACCTTAGCCGGACCACCGCCTGACGCCATTGCTCCGTCGGACCACCATTTGAGTCCCGGATTTCTGTCGGGCCACCACTTGACGCCGAGAGTTCTCCTGAAGTACCACCCTTCTACTATGATCTTTTAGACCCCGGTCTCCTGCCGACTACGATCCTTCTGACCTCCGTCGCCTACTATGGTCCTTCCGACCTCCATCAACAGACAACGGTCTTTCTGATCCCGGTCTCCTGCCAACTACGATCTTTCGGACCTCTGTCTCCTGCCGACTACGATCCTTCCGACCTCCATCACCAGACAACGGTCTTTCCGACCTCTATCCTATTGATTAGGGTTGTGCCAACCAAACAAACACATCTATGTTGATTATTACTCCCACCATGTAATGCACTTTATATGATGTACATTTGTGACATCAAGCCAATGCCTTCTCCTAAGGAAGGACCTCATTTGTAATCGACTACAAATACTAGTGAATTCATTCAAACTGGGCCAGCCCCCGTGATTTCCCCCGTTTCCAAGGGCTTCTATGTAAAAACTCTGGTGTCTCTTATAAGCACTTCACCCTCTCTCTTATCTGATTGTGTGCTGGATCTTCATACAACGTTAAGACGTTAAACTATATATTTCTCCACCGCCACGAATACTCCAGGAAACAACAATAATATAAAATTTACATGCATAACACTCAAAATTATATTTTTAATATATTTAACACCTAATACATAGATTGCCGACATCCATGGTGATCATTGGCAAGCATTGCACATCGCTAGCCACCCTCACATTCCATTAAGCTCCATCGCTACTTTCGCATACCAGTGATTTCGTTACCACCTTTACACGAAAGTCTAGATGCCCTAATTTGAGGCCTTTTGACGATAGAAGCTCCATCTCAATAAGATCTTATCATGACTTCCTCACTCCGACAAAATCCATCATGACTTCTTACTTCTTATTCGTTCCTTGATTCAATGAGGTCCGTGACGACTTTTCTCTTCTCCTTTATTGTCGTAGTCATTTTATTAATTCATTAAAAATATGCTATATTATGCAAATAATGAGTAGATATTAAATATCTAAAATAAGAAATTTTGAGTGCTATGAATGTAGTATTATCCTATTAAAAAAAAACACAAACAAACAAAACATCCAACTCATCATCGAATCCCTTCCATCTAAAAAGTCAACAACCATCCGCGTGAGAAATTATTTTGTGGGGAGAACGAATGCAAAACTTAATCACAAGATCAATCAGAATGCATCATATCAACAATATCAAACAGTACCAAACCATAATACTGAACAAAATATTTAATCCATCCGCGTTGCGTGCGTCTTAAGCGCAAACATACCAAAAAAACGCCTTATTACTTAACAACAAATTCCTTACAACCTTTCATTCCAGACGTCCAGTCCAAACTACTGACTTTACAGCCCCCCTCCTCCCTTCTTCCTCGCTGTACACCAAAAGAAAGAAAAAAATCCCCCAATCCACCAGTCTCTCTTCATCTCCCTCCACCAATCCCATGGCCGACAAGCATCAGATCAATCAAGAAGATTATTTGCCATCAGCCACCATCCATCCAACTACCCCCACCCAACGTCGGCGTTCCTCCTACCACAACCTCCAAAATCACCGCTTTTCTCTGTACCTCTGCGGTATCCTCGCCGCCGCCGTCCTCCTCGCCGGCCTGATCATCCTGATCCTAGCCTTCACAGCCTTCAAAATAAAAGACCCTCAATTAACCATGAACTCCCTCCACATCGACCGCCCCCTCGTCCCCGGCCTCGTCCCCTCCCTCACCAGCCCCTTTTCTCTCAACGCCACTCTCACCGCCGATATCTCCATCAAGAATCCCAACGCCGCGTCCTTCAGGTTTCGGAACAGCACCACCAATTTCTACTACGGAGGGGAGATCGTCGGCGTGGCTTACGCGCCGGAAGGGAGGGTGAGGGCGCGGCGGACGCTGCGGATGAATGTGACGGTGGATGTGTTGGCGGATAGGGTTGTGATGGAGACGAATGCGACGGGCGTGGTGTTGGGGAAAGGTCGGGTGAATATAACGAGCTTTACGGATGTCTCTGGGCGGTTTGATTTGCTTGGGGTTTATAAGAGGGATCTTGATATTTTGCTTAATTGTAGCTTTACGATAGGATTTTGGGAGGGTGGTTTTGTAAATAAGGTTTGTCAGGGTAACGTTTTGTAAACTTTTTGGATTTATAAAATGTGGCTGTTGTGGCTGATTTGTTTGTGGAGGTAATTTGTAAATAGAAATTGGAGGTGCCAAAACGGGTCGATAAGTCGAGTTTGAATTGAATTTGAGTTGACCTGAGTCTAAACTGGTCAACTCGAAACTAACCCATTTTTGCAAACGGGTCAGGTGTTTCAACCTGGTTTTGACCCGCGAACAAGTTTCATTCAAAAATGGGCAAGTGCGATGGCAGGCGAGGCCAGCGCGGGCTGAGGTTGTGCCGGTGCGAGATCAACTTCTGTTATAATTTATTTCAAGATATTCAAACATTAAAAGTTTCTCAACTACAATTTGTGGTTACAATGAGATTCTTAGGTTTCATTTGGAACAGCTTTTAGTAACTATTTTTCATTAATTTCAAAAAAAAAAAATATACTAAATTTTTTT